CCTTCTCACAGGTCCTTGCAGGTTTTTGGGGAGCTGTGGAGCTCCCCAGCACCCGGCAGCTCACTAAAGAGGTGAAAGTCTGGTACAGAATCCCGTCCTCAGCTACAACCCCATTAGAAATGCAAATTTCTGGGGTTTTCCAGTAAAATAGTGAATTAGAGAGTGCTAATAACTGACCCAAGGTACCCCTCTTCATTTAAGAGGCGGCTCCTCCTCCGTTATACACAGAATTTTTGCCTTTAATGCTATGCCTGTAATTTATGACTTCAATTTTGGGATCAATTTTTATTTTTTGAGTAGTTCTCGTGAAGACTGTGCCTGTGTCGCTGAAAGAACAACCTGAAACACTGTATTGGGTTGCTGCTTTAGGAAAAAAACCAAGAATTCCACCTTACAGGAATGTCCCCTTTGCAGAATTTCAAATCTTTGTCCTCTGAGCAGAGCTTTAGGAGCTGTGTGCTGAGCAGACGAGGTAGCAGGACACAGCGCTGTGCGGGAAAACTCATTTATCTTGCTTTAGAAACGGCACGGGAACTAAATCTGCCCTCACTTTACATCGCTGACTTTTATGGGACTGCCCCAGTGTGACAACAAGGGCAGACGCAACCTAAAAGATGTAGATACCTCAAGCCATAACTGATCAAAAGCACTTACGCACACGTGAAATAAGCTGCTACAGAAAGCTACAGACTCTCCAAAATGTTCAGTCCAAACTGGCCCTTCCGTAGCTTATTTGCTTCTCGCTAAGGTTTACATTTCCAGCGGCTGTGGAAATAAAAACACTGAAACACAGGAAAAAAAATCCACTGATGGGAAACTGGACAGCATCTCCCAAATACAGAGTGTTTAAGTGTCCAAATATTTAAGTTAAGTCACATAATGTAAGAAAAAAATGCCTTTTTTAGCCAGCTAAGGGTGCCAGCACCCACGGCTGCCGGTGCCGGATGAAGGGAGCAGTCCCCCGGGTGGGAAGGCAGCGTTTCCAACTGGGGCACCCCCAGCGCTGCTGGGAGCGGTGGGCACGGGGGTCCCTTCGGGGTGGCCACGCACCAGAAATACTTCAAGGACGCTCCGGGGCCCCAGGGGTGTTATTACACTTTGTGTAAGGTGTCTTTAAGCAAGGCGCTTAAAGAAATAAATAGGTCAGCGCCTTCAGAAGTTGAACAGCGATAACAAATAATTAAAATAAATTCTTAATTGACCTAAGTGATGCTGGCACAGCCTCGGAGACCCCATCCTGGATAAAAGGCGTGAAGTCCTGTGCTGTCTCTACACATAATTTTACATTCATAGATGGCGCCATCCGCCCTCCTGATCAGAGGCATCCACTTCGTTATCCCCATCCACATCGTTATCCCCATCCATGTCGTTATCCCCGTCATCGTTATCCCCATCCAGTTCATTATCCCAATCCACTTCGTTATCCTGATCCACTTTGTTATCCCCATCCATGTCGTTATCCCCATCCACTTCGTTATCCCCATCCACTTCGTTATCCTGATCCACTTTGTCATCCCCATTCACTTCGTTATCCCCATTCACTTCGTTATCCTGATCCACTTTGTCATCCCCATCCACTTCGTTATCCTGATCCACTTTGTTATCCCCATCCACTTTGCTATCCCCATCCACTTCGTTATCCTGATCCACTTCATTATCCCCATCCACTTTGTTATCCTGATCCACTTTGTTATCCTGATCCACTTCGTTATCCTGATCCACTTTGTCATCCCCATCCAGCTCAAAAGGAATCCTCCAAAAATTAGCACACTCAGAGTCTGAAAGTATTTCCAAAATCACACTGTCAAGCAAATAAATATTACAATTCTGGTGACGGGTTTGGTTGCCTGTAATCAGAACCATAAAGCCCCTCCGTGCGTTAAAAGGGAGCAGAAGTCCCCAGAACTGGGGCAGCAGAGCTAAGATAATTCAGTACTGATCGATCTGCACCGTTCTCTCTGGCACTGGGCTGTCTCTTTAAGGAACACACAGCTGCTTGGCACAAAAAAAAACCAACCCAAAAAATGCTGGATAAGGACACTGCCTTTTCCTTATTTCATCACTGCAGCCCTCGCTTCTCCCTTCACCTTCGGCGCAGTGACCTCCAAATTACCTGAGTGGTTCCTGGGCTGCGTGGACGGGGATGTCCCATCCATGCCTCTGCAGGATTTGCTTCTGTAATAACTTCCAGGTGACCGTGAATCGCTGCTCCGACGGACACCACGCACGGCAGCGCGAGCTGAAGCAAGTTTAATAGCTCAAATTTAAACAGGTTGTACGTGTGGAAAGCCAGAGAGATGAGTGCTGTAATTTCTCCCTGATAATGGGCTCTAATAGGCAGGATCTGACCTTTCGGATTCAATCCAGTTAAACATCTATATACAGGCAATAAATTCAAAGCAGCGTTTCGCCATCCCTGGAAGTGTTTAAAAGATGAGATGTGGCACTTGGGGACATGGTTTAGTGGTTTATAAGCATGGAAAAACACTGACCGGATGTGGTCAAAGATACAACCAAACGTTGATGGGGTTCACAGGACTGACAGCGACAAAACCACTGCGCACTGCGTGCCCTGACTGCAGCCTCCCTCCCTGGGACGCCACTAAAGCTATCCCAAATATTTGAGAAATACTAAGAAATAAACTCTTTTCCTTGCTGGTACGTAGGGTAAGCAAACTGTTTATGCACATTTATCAAATGAGAAGAACTAAAACACAAGGAATTTAAAGCTGTTTATTCAAGACAATCCAAGGCAGAGACAAAAACCGACCATGCTGCCCCTAGCACAACCCTAAATTTGCACCTAGCAGTAAAATACACAGTAAAATAAATGGTCATGAGCACTGCAGGATGCAGGGCCTCCCTTCAGACCCCCTTTCATGTTTTATAGGAGGTTTTTACCCAGAATAAAAATACGGAAAACTTCCTGAGCATCCACAGCTCCTTTGCACTGGGAATCCCATTCTTCCCAGCTTTTCTGGAGCGATCCAAAACAGGGACCGTGCAAACGGGAAAGAAGTGTAGACAACTCATTTCAGGCCAATATGAAACCAAGGAGCAGGCAGCAGCTTGGAGAGCTGAGAAGGGGGAGAGGGAGGAAAGGGAGCAGACGATACACAGCGAGCACAAGGGCTAACATTTTCCTCCGGGCAGAGGATAATCCCCAGCCTCTAACATTTCCCACACAGGACACATACATAATAGATACGGCATCAGGACGAGCATTTTCACTTCAGTCTTCCCATTAAGAAGTACATTTACGAGCAGGCGTAAATGTGCTGTGCCAGTGCAGTGCTCCCTGACAGGACTTTTTGTGATTCAGGGAAGCGCTCGGTACCCCCGTTCACGAGGCCCAGGTCTCACTGCCCGTTACATGTTCGTGCCATCAGCACAGATTTCACTCCAAACAGCCACATGTGAAGCAAAACCCAGGATTTCCTCTTTACACTGGGACAAAAGTGGCATTTGTTACATTAGATGGCAGAAATCTCGTCTCCACTGTAAAATGCTGGATCAGCCCATCCTGTCGTGCTCTACCAACATGTTTTACCTATGCTTAAATTCTTCCTTTTCTACTCTCCAATCCAGATCACACCTTAAAAAAGTCTCTTTTAAAAGCTGAGTTTCATTAGGAATGTTCTCCAGTGAAACTCCCTGGGACACCAAGCAAAAGCATTGCTCTCTTGGCCACTCTTTACCCTTTTCTGGGATTTCCTGCAGCAAGGAATTAAAACCTGATACAGACGACTTTTATAAGAAAATAATGCATTAATGTCTCTATTTTGTGCTCCATACACACCCAACACAGAAAGCG